TTGTTATAATATAAATTGGACGTTAGATATTATCGTGTTACGAGTTAGAAATTATTATGTTACATGTTAGTCTTAGTTATGTTATAAATTGACGTTAGATAGTATCGTGTTAGGAGTAACAAATTATTATGTTACATGTTATAGTTGATTATATTATAAATTGGATGTTAGATATTATCGTGATCGTGTTAGGAGTTACAAATTATTGTGTTACATGTTAGACTTCATTATGCTATAAATTGGACGTTAGATAATATCATGTTATGAGTTACAAATTATTATGTTACATGCTAGAATTAATTATCTTAATTTAACATGTTCTAAAAATATAAATATTGTACTATATAGCAGGAGTCATGGGAAGATTTTGGAGGAGATGGTGTTGATTACAGTCTGCGTTTCGATACCTGTACATTATATAATAGTGCTCAGGACGCTATTGAAGCTGCAAAACACCAGGCAATGCTGAATGGTTTCCTATTAATAATTTCGAGCCACAAAAAGAAAACGGTCAGGCTTTTGAAGTGCCATAGAGGCGAACGGTACAGAGGCACAGGCGGAAATTCTAGAAAGTAAAAAACGAATAAGTGCGGCTGCAATTTTGAGATCAAAGTAAAAAAGGTGTCCGGCACTCCATACTGGAGGATCTGTAGATGTAGCAATGAAGAGAATGGCTACCATAACCATACATTTGCTGTGTATCCTGAGGGTCATCGCCAGTTGAGCGGCCTCAGCGCTTCATCTAAGAAAATTGTTCGTGATATGACGGACGCTCAGGTGGCCCCGGCAAAAATTATGGCCGCGCTGAAGGAAAAGAATCCGAGAGACAACGTTCATGTGCGACAGGTATATATATTTATATCTTGTAATATATGTTTTAATTAACTTTTTAAAGTTAATTATGATAATTAGTAATTTTTTATATGTAAAAGTTATTGTAATAATTAATAAATTTTATTATATTTACTAATGTATTATTATTGTGATAGTTAAATTTTTTTTTTATCAAATTAATCGCATTAATATATTTTTTTATTTATTAACATAATATTTTTTTTTTAAATTATAATAATCATTATAATTAACGCTAATCGGTGACAGGTATATAACTTTAGAAATAAACTGCGGAAAGAGAGTTTCGACGGTAGAGACGATCCTTCTCAGCTTATGCTTTTGGCCGTGAGCAGTGAGTATACAGTTTATGCAGAATCTGATCCGAACACAAAAGCGTTGACGCATATATTCATGGCCCATCCTACGTCGATCAATCTATTCCGGACATATCACTGGTATGTCGGCATAGATTCCACGTATAAAACCAACAGGTATGTTACTTTATAAATACTTTATTAGTATGAATCTTAAATAGTCTGTTTGATTAAGTAAACTTTTATTTGATTATATTTTTTGTCTTCTTGGTCTCATTTGCACAGGTACAAGATGCCGTTGGTCGAGATGATTGGGATGACACCGTGCAACCAGAACTTCCTAGTTGCGTATGCGCTCATCAGGGACGAGAAAGAGGCCAGTTACGACTGAGTTCTAGAGAAGTTGAGACTACTGATAGGCCAAGACGTATATCCTTATGTTGTTGTCAGTGACAGAGAGTTGGGTTTACTCACTCCTATTCAGAGGCATTTTCCTGAATCAGCCCACTTACTCTGCACGTGGCACATCAACAAGGATGTGGAAGACAAAGCCTACAAACTATTTGGGAAGAGTAAAAAATTCTCGGAGATTTTCACGCACAGTACGTGGAAGGCGATTGCAGAGGCCAGTACGTTCGATGCCTACACTGATGCCGTTGCTGAGCTGCACGCTAAATATTCGAAGTCTCCAGAGGTGATATGGTATGTGGAGAGCACATGGTTAGGGCACCGCGAGAAGTTTGTGAAGGCTTGGACCAACCGAGTGACACATTTTAGAAACACAACTTCCTGTAGGGTAAAGAGTGCCCACTCTGTGCTGAAGGAGTAGCTTCAGACGTCCACCGGCGCGCTCGATACAATTTGGCAGAAGATTAATAAGCACATCGATAATCAAGTAACTGAAATCAAGTACGTATTGCAATTTTTAAATGCGTTATTATATTACTGCATTAATTAATTATAATCTAACGCTAATGTAACGTATTATCAAGACGGCGCTTGAGGCCTCGAGATCTAAGAAGAATACACGGTATAAGGGAATCCTTTTCGCGAGCGTGATACTGAGGGTCTCGCATTACTGTCTAAGTTTATTGGACGCTGAGCTTACGAGGATGCACGGCTTGGACACCGATGTTTACACTAGCTGCGGCTGTGTATTGCAGCTCACTCATGGACTTCCTTGTGCCTGTCTTCTCCGCAACGCAGTTGGTTTCAACATTTCGATTGATCTCGGAATGATTCACCAGTTCTGGAGAACGCTACAGATATTAGAGCCAGGTAATTTAAGGTTAATGTTTTATTTATAATTTTCTATTAAAATACATTATTTGGTTTAATTCATTGACTTTTTTATCGTATACTTGTAGGGACTGGTCATCAGAGCCAGGCGAGCCAGGCTGCATGGTCAGATGCGGAGTTCTTTCAGATGCTTGTGAATGAGATTGAAACCCGCGATCCCGCGACGATGCGATACGTGAATCAGTTCATGTACAGTCATCTTTACCCAGACCAACAGGATTATGCGGAACCTGAGGTTAAGGATAACCCGCGAGGTCGTCCCAAGAAAACTAATTCAACTAAGCGTAAACCATCTGCTTTTGAGTACAACGATAGATCGCGAGGTCGGAAATCGAGCCGTACGACCACTTCTTCGCGTGGACAGACAAGTTCGTCTTCTCAACAGTCACAAGGGGAAGCAATTCATACATTTTTTTTTTTTAAATATGGCTGAGCATTAATTAAAGTATTTATATGATTATATAAATTGTGACGTGAAATTATTATGATATTTATTGCAGAGTTTAGACCGACAAATATATTTGGATTTTCAATGTGGCAAAATATCCCCTGGCATATGTTGGACTACATGTGAGTTACCTGAATGTGGATGCGGATGGTAACTGCGGATTTCGGGTCATCGCGAGTCACGTGTATGGTCACCAGAAGCACTGGGCTGATGCAAAAGAAAGCATTGCGAAGGAGGTAGACAGCCACCGTGAATTGTACGAGTACATCTATTTTAGAGATATCGACACCGGACTCCGTCGCGTAAGGTGGGCCGACGGCCCTTGTGGACGGTCTCACTGGTTCGAAGTTCCGCAGGACCTCTACGCCGTTGCGACCCTATTTAATGCGGTTGTCGTTCTGTTGGGCTCTGGTCCGCAAGGTGGGCAGCACGACTTATTCAGCATCACAGTGTTGCCTCTCATTGCACGATCATCGGCTAGAGGACCATGTCGTGATTGTCATGTGCCATCTTGGTACCATAGAACACTACATTCGTTTAGATTTGACTCATGATTGTCCATTGCCGCCTATTCATTCCATGTGATTCTGTTACCGAGATCGATCGGTTGTGGGTTGGGAGGATCAGTACGAGGCTAGGTTGCGATTACGGTTTACTGTTAAAAAAAAAAACCTTCTTGAATAAAAGAACGATATTATTCACTTGTGGTATGACGCTTCTCATTCAACTTAAGTTTAGCAAATAAAAAACAAAATGAATCAGTTCAACTCTATTTTAGCAAAAACAAAAAAAAAAAACCATTCAACTTAATGTTTTACAAATAATAAATAAAAAAAAGTCATTCAACATAATGTTTTACAATAATAATTAAAAAAAAAAAACATTCATTACATCATTATTGGGCATTGTCGTAATCCAACTTAAACTTAGTCAGTTCTTCTTGGACTTCCGCCGCCACCAGACATTCGCATCCCTGCTGCCAAATCGATGTAATGCCCAAAAGACGGTTCACCCACTAAACAAATGGAGAATAAAAAGATAAGACTAAAATTTATTAAAAAAAAAATTATTGTAATGAAGTAACATTAATTAAAATTTAGTAACCAACTTACATAAGTGGTATTAACACGCGTAGGGATCTCGTTCTCGTCCTGCAGCTCCTCGCCCATGAGAGTCGGATGGGAAACCCGACTGTACCACTGCAGGTAATCCTCAGTCGCCTCCCTGCTATCCTGTGTGGTGGGGGTCAACATACCGGTGTTGACCGTTCCAGAAATCGGGAACTGGCGCTCAACCCTGTAGTTCCTAGACTCCCAAGCACGTACTGCACTGATTGGCGGGTATGTACGGGGAGGGACAGTCTGGACATACCCCAACTGACGCAGACAACGCGCAGGCAAGTACGGCTCGACGACATCGCGGTATCGAATTAATCCGCTATAAAGAGTCATCGGCTCTATCGCATCTGGGCTGGAGTTGCCGTATGGCAACCATTGCACCTGTTCACAATTTCACAATTGCATAAAAGCATTTATAAAAATAATTATATTATTTTAAATAACGGGTAACAATTTATTCAACTTATTATTATTATAATATTTAATAATTATTATTATAATAATTATTATTATTACTAATAATTATTATTATAATATATAATTATTATTATAATTTATAATTGTTATTATAATAATTATTATTATAATATATAATTATTATCAAAAAAATAAAAATAAAAAACTGTCCGGCCGGCGGTTCCGGACGGTTTTTCGGCCGTCCGGAACCGACGACCGGACAGTTTCAAAAAAAAAAAATTTAAAAATTTTCCGGCGTAAAAAGAAAAAAAAAAATTATCTTGCTAGAGAAGAATGCTTTGCCGAGGCTGTAGGATTTTTTCGACATTTTTTCGGATTTTTTTCGGTGCTCGAATTACTCGTTAAAAGTTCGGGAATTTAGAGAGAGAGAAAATTTAGAGAGATAAGGATTAAGGGCAAAAGAGTAAATAGAGGACGTTGACTAGTAAAATGGCTGTGAATAACAATTGAGAAAGAAAAAAACAGCAATCGTGTGGATGAAATTTAATCATTTGGTGGGAAATAAATAGCGGTAGCGTCAGCCGGACGATTTTCAACTACCACAGTCGAGGACTAATCGGTCCAATTGGCACAAGCATTCTCAGCGATAAAATAACGAACCTTTTCCAGGTACAACCATCTTCAACACTGTCGGTGGACTGATCAGCTGAAAACGACACTCTCTCACTTACCTTTTCTCTCTCCAGGACTCCTTGAGGCAACCTCCCCTGTCGTATTCTTCCCTCACACCTCAATTCATTGTTTTCACATTTATTTTACAGAAACTAACACTAACAGCTACGCACACGCATTTATATATGTTGTGTTTTTAGAGAGAGGAGAGAGTAGCCGCAACAGCCAGTGGCCATCACTTCTAGCTACTCGCTCTACCTTTGCTTCCATCTATCTTCATCTGATCACCGGCTGGCTTGATCTTGATTAGAGGGTATACATTTGCCTTTAATCTTTATGAACCCTTATTTGGGCGTGATTAGTAGATCTGATCTGTGAATTGAACGAATCAAAGTGAGCTACTTTTGCTGTTCTAACGGAAGATTGTGGGAATGAAATGATACCTCGCAGAATTCTCAAAGGCGTATTTTAGCTGTTCTAGGATGTTAAATTCTGATTGAAGCTTGTATTTTACTGATTGTTAATTCATTGCTCTTGGGGAAGCTTAGTGAAAATGGAATCTGAAGCGGAAACAAAGGTTAGTAAGAGGGTCTCCGTAAGTGGGAATCTTAACGCTACTTCAGTTACTCTTGAATCTTGATTTTTTTTGGTATTTGTTGAAGAAGAATGATTGTATTATTATTGCGCTACTGGTGATATTTGCTAATATATTGCTTCAAGATTTCCTTCCATATTTTTTTCCATGACGTGAATGTATTGATTTCAATGTTTAAGAAAATGGAGTATTTTTTTTTTACCTAATTTACCGTATTTCAATTGCTAGGGAAAGCCATTGAAGAACATTGGTAGCCAAGTGTGTCAGATCTGTACTGATAATGTGGGGTTGACTGTAGATGGTGAGCCATTTGTTGCATGTGACGTCTGCGCGTTTCCAGTTTGCAGACCTTGCTATGAATATGAAAGGAAGGACGGTAATAAATCTTGCCCTCAGTGCAAAACCAGATACAAGAGATATAAAGGTAATCTCAGTGCATGTATAAATAAGTGTTTTCTTATTATCATATAGTTGTAAATATAAGCCTATGTGCATCGCATTTGGTTGAGCACAATGGGAAAGCAGTCAAATACATTTCAAGAAGTATTAAGATGTATGGATCTATAAACGTGGCAATCAGAGATATTAAGAAGTATGAACATTTTTAATATTCATATACACAAATCAGTTTGATTGAAAGAGAAATCATTAATCCTTATTGACTTTGTTTAGGTGATTGACAAATTTGCATATTATTAAGTGACCTGCTATACAATGAATCTTGAGTAACGATATGCAATTCTTCTAAATTTTTCTCTCAAAGTAATATTTGACATTTTGAAATAGGAAGTCCTGCAATTCTTGGTGATGGAGAAGAGGCTGGTGTTGCTGATGATGGACCTGATGATCACCATTACTCTGAAAATCAGGCTGACAAGCAGAAGATTTCAGAGGGCATGTTGAGCTGGCACATGAATTATGGACGGGGAGAAGGTTCCTTACCAAAGTATGATAAAGAGGTCTCCCACAACCACATTCCTCTGCTTACCAATGGAACAGATGTAAGTTTGTATGCTTTTCCATTTGAGCACTTCTCTCGTTTCCACATGTTATAATTTCCCATAGTTGGTGAACTGATATTCTTCATATTTTCTCTTGGTAGGTGTCTGGAGAACTATCTGCTGCATCACCTGGACGCCTTTCAATGGCATCTCCTCCTCATGGTGGTGGTGGAAAACGTAAACTTCTGTCCCTTACTAGTGATTACATCAATCATAATATTTTCTCGTGTGTGTTTTCCCCTTCTGAATCCTGGCTCCCGTGCGCAAATATATCCTTGATTTGCAGCTAGGATTGTGGATCCAGTAAGGGAGTTTGGATCCCAAGGCTTAGGCAACGTTGCCTGGAAAGAAAGAGTTGATGGCTGGAAGATGAAGCAGGAAAAGCCTGCTGCGCCAATGACTGCGAGCCATCCTCCTTCTGAAAGAGGAGTTGGAGATATCGATGCAAGCACAGATATTCTTGTGGATGATTCTCTACTGTGAGTTCTCGAATTTTTGTAAAGTGTCTTATATGTGTAGAGATTATTTACTAAGACAATAACATGGATAATGTTTTTGAAGTCCACAAAAGGTTTCATTCCCATTTGGCTGTTCACATTTATCCATGATATACATTTTTTTTTTTTTTTTTTGGAGTTTTTTTTTTTTGGAGAAGCCATTCTGTTATGTGCTTACTTTCATTCTTTCTGTAGGAACGATGAGGCTCGACAGCCACTATCAAGGAAGGTTTCAATTCCATCATCAAGGATAAACCCTTACAGGATGGTCATTGTCTTGCGGTTGGTGATTATCTGCATTTTCTTGCACTATCGAATAACAAATCCTGTATCCAATGCGTATGCTTTGTGGTTAATTTCTGTGATCTGTGAGATATGGTTTGCCATATCCTGGATTCTGGATCAATTTCCGAAATGGCTCCCCGTGAACCGCGAAACATATCTCGACAGGCTTGCTCTTAGGTGAGAAAATTTTCTTTAAATGTGGCTACAATTTGGTCCTTTCTTTAGCATTATTTGCAATTGAACTCGTATGAATAGATAGATTGTGTAGTACCTTCCTATGGCAACTGAAATCATTGTATGCCCTTTTTTGCTCATGAGTCATGAGTTCTCTTCTTTAGCTCAAGTAGATTTGTCAGTTCATTTTCAACTCTGGTTTTTAGCCAACTATATAATTATTTGTAACAGGTATGATCGCGAAGGAGAACCATCACAATTAGCAGCTGTTGACATATTTGTCAGTACAGTCGATCCCCTAAAGGAGCCTCCACTTGTTACAGCTAATACTGTTCTGTCCATTCTTGCGGTGGACTATCCAGTGGACAAGGTGTCATGCTATGTTTCTGATGATGGTGCTGCCATGTTGACATTTGAAGCCCTGTCAGAAACATCTGAATTTGCAAGGAAGTGGGTTCCGTTCTGTAAAAAGTATAATATTGAGCCACGGGCTCCAGAATGGTACTTTGCTCAGAAGATTGACTACTTGAAAGATAAAGTTCAGCCATCCTTCGTAAAGGACCGTAGGGCTATGAAGGTGAGAATTTTGATTTTTTCCAATATAACCTTCCAACCTTTTTACATTTGGTCAAGTTTCTCAATGTTTGTGTCACTGTTTGTCCTTACAGCGCGAATATGAAGAGTTCAAAATTCGTATCAATGGACTTGTTGCCAAAGCTCAAAAAGTTCCTGAAGAAGGTTGGATCATGCAAGATGGTACACCATGGCCTGGAAACAATACTAGAGATCATCCAGGAATGATCCAGGTGACCTTAGTTTCAGAGATCTGAAATTATACCTTACCCGACTGTCCATGTTCCTTCATACATTGAGTGTTTGTATGAACATTGCGTTTGTTGCACGCCGAAGTGTATATGCAATTGACAGTATCTTTCATATGGTTCATTTTTGTAATTTTTATTTTTCAGTAATTCTCAGTCTTTGAGACATATCTGTTTGTTTTCTAAGCAGATATGCTTCTTTTACTTATATACGATTACTTCTTAACTTTTCTCAAGGTACCACAGTAGAATATATGTGTGTGTGTGTGTGTGTGTGTGTGAGTTGTGTGTTAATATTAATATTTGCTTGCTTGCAGGTTTTCCTGGGCCAAAGTGGAGGTCTTGACAGCGAGGGTAATGAGCTGCCTAGGTTGGTATATGTTTCTCGTGAGAAGCGCCCGGGGTTTCAGCATCACAAGAAAGCTGGTGCTATGAATGCTCTTGTAAGTGGTCTATATATTGACTTTTCTTATCTCTTTTTTTCTGCTTACATGTTTGACATTTTTAATTACAACATATGCCAGGTTCGTGTGTCAGCAGTTCTTACCAATGGACCTTTCTTGTTGAATCTTGATTGTGATCACTACATTAACAACAGCAAGGCCTTGCGTGAAGCAATGTGCTTTTTGATGGACCCAAATCTCGGAAAATATGTTTGCTATGTGCAGTTTCCTCAGAGATTTGATGGTATTGATAAGAGTGATCGATATGCCAACCGCAACACTGTCTTCTTTGATGTGAGTTTTTCTGCACTGATTGAACTGATTGTCTGTTATGTGTGCCTTTCATCTTTGTGTGTGTTATGATAAAAAGGATTAAATATCAAATCTGTGAGAAACAATTCTATTTTTTTTTACCTATTTAATTAAAAATTAATGTGATTGTGTTTCTTCTCGGCTCACCAGATTAACTTGAGAGGCTTAGATGGCATTCAAGGCCCCGTGTATGTGGGCACTGGATGTGTCTTCAACAGAACTGCTTTGTATGGATATGAGCCTCCTCACAAACCTAAGCATAGGAAGCCTGGATTTCTCTCATCCTGCTTTGGTCGATCAAGTAAGAAAAGCTCTAAATCAAGTAAGAAGGGGTCAGATAAAAAGAAATCTAGCAAGCATGTCGACCCCACTGTTCCCATCTTCAGCCTGGAGGATATAGAAGAGGGTGTTGAAGGTATGCTTTCTCTCGAACTCTATAACTTTACTTTCCTAACAGATATGACGGTTAGGCATTGACCACCCATAAAATGTGAAACAATGAGCTTTAGTAAAGATATACTTGTCCTACGAGATTGGTCTGATTCTTTATTGACATTGGTAATGCCATGCCAATTTCTTTGTTTGCCTTATGCATTAACTCTTATCCAATGTCTCATTTTTCCTTATTTGTTGTAGCATTTCGGTGTGGCCATCTATTTGTTTCTTCTCCTTACGTTTTTGATGCTATTCTTTTGGTAATCGAGTCAGGTGCTGGATTTGATGACGAGAAGTCATTGCTCATGTCTCAAATGAGCCTCGAAAAAAGATTCGGCCAATCTGCCGTTTTTGTTGCATCCACATTGATGGAGAACGGTGGTGTCCCTCAGTCAGCGACGCCAGAAACTCTTCTCAAAGAGGCCATTCACGTTATTAGTTGCGGGTATGAAGACAAGAGTGAGTGGGGAAGTGAGGTTAGTATGCTATTTCTCATGTGGCATGAAATTGTGGACTCAAATCAATACAACATTCTTGTGAGACTAAAAAATCTTCCCTTTTGATGTGTTTGCAGATAGGATGGATTTACGGTTCTGTAACCGAAGATATTCTGACGGGGTTCAAGATGCACGCGCGCGGGTGGCGCTCAATTTACTGCATGCCTCCAAGGCCGGCCTTCAAAGGATCAGCTCCGATCAACCTTTCAGACCGTCTGAACCAAGTACTCCGGTGGGCCCTTGGATCAGTAGAAATCCTTTTCAGCAGGCATTGCCCAATATGGTACGGTTATAACGGGAGGCTAAAATGGCTGGAGAGATTCGCGTACGTGAACACCACTATATACCCAGTCACCGCCATCCCTCTCCTCCTCTACTGCACGCTGCCAGCCGTTTGCTTGCTCACGGGAAAGTTCATCATTCCACAGATCAGCAACGTGGCCAGCATATGGTTCCTGTCCCTTTTCCTATCGATATTCGCGACGGGCATCCTGGAGATGCGGTGGAGTGGGGTGGGAATCGACGAGTGGTGGAGGAACGAGCAGTTTTGGGTCATAGGTGGGGTCTCGGCTCACCTGTTTGCCGTTTTCCAGGGGCTACTCAAAGTATTGGCCGGAATCGACACCAACTTCACTGTGACTTCCAAGGCGTCTGACGAGGACGGGGACTTTGCCGAGCTGTACATGTTCAAGTGGACGACGCTACTCATCCCACCGACCACTCTTCTCATTGTTAACATCGTGGGGGTGGTGGCGGGAGTATCGTACGCCATCAATAGTGGGTACCAGTCGTGGGGCCCACTCTTTGGGAAGCTCTTCTTTGCGTTTTGGGTCATTGTTCATCTCTATCCTTTCCTTAAGGGGTTGATGGGCCGCCAGAACCGAACGCCCACTATTGTCGTCGTCTGGTCCATCCTGCTTGCCTCCATCTTCTCCCTGCTTTGGGTACGGGTCGACCCGTTCACGACTCGGGTCACGGGGCCCGATGTCCAGCAGTGCGGCATCAACTGCTGATGTGATGTGATGTGGTGTGATGTGATGGACTTTCTTCTTTGTCCATAAATCATATGTGTTGTGTTGTGTTGGTGGGAAGGGAAGAATTTGATGTTGTTTTGTTTGATGTCTATCTATAAATTAACTCTTGCTGCCAGCATTAAATGTGTTATTTTGTTAGTTCGTATTGTTTATATCTGATGCTAGTCGAGATGATTTAAGATGAAGGTGACCAAAAGTATCCAACAAAATTGTTGCCATAGAGATTTGCAGTAACGAATATCAAAGATTGATGCAAAGCTACTTTACTTCTCAAATGTGTTATTTTCTCTTGGTTATCTTGGGATCTCAACTTCTCAAATCTATCTCAAAAGCTCAAATAATAAGTCATGAGAGATAAGTTA